TCCCCGGATGGTGGCGTCGGGGAGCTGGGTGGCAGAGGCCAGTCGCTCCCTGGTGGCGGTGGCGGGGTACGGCCCTCTCTGGAATTCTGGAAGGGAGTCTGGAGTCAAGTCACCCAGCTCCTGGCTGCTCCACCCCCCTCCCATCAGATTCCCACAGGGACCCTGCTTAGGAATGTGAGTCAGACCCGCTGTTCCAGGGGCAGCTGCCCGGAGGACGACTGAGGCATAATCTGCCCCCGGGGGAAAGCGCCTTCCTGCTGCCCACCCGCCCGCGCTGGAGTCACGCTCTGCAGCTGGGGAGTCGGGGGCGTGCCCGTGCCGGGTCCCCTGGCCGGAGTGTGCCCGGCAGCCTGCCAACCAGGCCGCGGCTTCCGCTTCCTCGCCAGTCACCTGTCTCCAGGGCCGCTGCCTGCTGGCGCGAGAAGATCGTCCTGTCTCTGTGCTGGGCGCCCGGCAGGGGTCCCCGGGCTGAGCTTTTCCGGGGGCATTGGGACGCGAGCACCTCTGCTGAGACCTGGGATCTGGCTTCTCCCAGCCAGGGGACACCTGCAGCACCTGGGAGAGGGGACGGGGAGAGAGGGTCAGGGCTGCCCTTAGGACGCATGGGGCCCTGCACATGGCTGGTATGCTGGTGCCCCTGTGCCCAAAGGCAGCAGGGCGGGGGGGCGGGGGACTTTTTTTAAAGATGCGAGTTCATCATTTTCAGCAACACGCTGGGGAAATATCTTAACGCGAATTTTAAACTCTGGTCCCGTAGATGCAGCAACAAACCCCTAATCGGAAGCAAACCCTTTCCAGCAGCCACACAGCACACCCCGGACACACTCACCCAGGAACCTGCCTCTGCAACACACCCGCTGCCAGCTCTGTCCACACCTCTACGCAAACGACACCACCCCAGGCCCTCCCCACATCAGCCACTGCCTCAGGGCCTCATACAAATGCACATCCGCTAACGAGATCTCAGCCATCAAGTGCCAGACAGGCCCCTCTGCCATGGATATCGGCCAAACCGAAATGTCTCTGCACCGAAGGATAAATGGACACAGCTCAGGCCTCTGGGATGGCAACAGAAATCTGGAAGGGAACATTTGAACCTGCCTGGGCGCTCAGTCGTGGATTTCAAAGCAGCCGTTTTTCTACAAAGGCATTTCAGCAGCCCACTACAGAGAGCGCGACTTTGACCTTCCTCTGCAGAGTGGACAGTTTTCCTGGGCCTGAACAAAGACACAAACTAGGTGGCCCATTAGTAAACCAGCCTGCCTTACAGCCAACACCTCAGTGACATCCAAAGCTAAGTAGGGACACTGGCAGCCCACGTAATTAGCCACGTCAGCACCGGCACTGCCACTGACAGGCACTTTTCTCCCCTCCCTTCTAGTTCTGTTATAATTCTGAGAGCCCCCCGCTTTTTGCTCCACTTGGGCTGTGGGCTGTGCCCACAAAAGCTCACGATAGCAGGTGCCACAAGGCATCTCGTTGTTACAGCCAATGCAGAAACTGACAGGCTGCACCTGAGGGTGGCTGTTCCATGGCTCCCTTGCCTCTTTTAGAGGTTCAGTGCTCTGCCAGGCTTTGTCACTAGGTCCTCTCTGGAGGCAGCAGAGCCACAGAGCAGGGATAGGAAGAGGCAGGGGGGTGGACATTAAGACCCAGGGGTGCCCCACATTTTCAGGTGCCCCACGCAGCTGCATATTCTGCATATGGCTATGGATGAGGCATGCTGGCCGAAGATTCCCAACCCCTTAGGGACTGTGTGTGCTGTGTTTGCCCGCCCCCCCACCAAGCTAAGCATGAGCAGCTGATACGGTCCCAGACCACCTGCTCTCCATGCGTGAAGAGCTTCATGAGGTTAGGATTAAAATCTGGGTCTGCAGCAATGTTCCCTCTCTATTTTTCATTTGTGTGTGGAATAAGTTTTGCTCCATGCACCGAGGCACGTGTGGATGTGCACCACCAGTAGAAACACATGCTGCCAGCTGTGGGCTGCTTGGGCGTGCTGCTGATTAGCTGGGCAGCGGGCAGCCATCCAAGCGCTCAGCTTACAGAGAACACCAGTCGGCAAGGAGGAGGGGGTTGTTCTGATGCATTCCCCGTGGGGAGGAAGTCACTCCCCAGCAGCTCTGTGTTAGCGCGGCCTGGCGGGGGGCCCTGGTAGGGGCACATTGCTGCACCAGGGGGCCACGGGAGGAGCTGCCAGTGGGGTAGTGATGTGCGTGTGGTCGGGAGGGGGGCACATGGGAGTGTCTCGCCACGGTGGCGTGTCAGAGCATGTTCCTGTTGCATGCTGGCTCCGGGCCAGGCCTCACCTGGTGGCGAAGGCTCCGTCATGCAGCCAGCTGCGAGCCACGTGGCCTCTTGCAGGTTCCTCAGCACCCGGTTGATGGAGGACACCTGGGCAGAGCAGAGGCAGGGAATGGCTTAGGGGCAGCGTTGGAGGCCCTGTCCGGATCGCTGTGGCGTGTCAGAGCATGTTCCTGTTGCATGCTGGCTCCGGGCCAGGCCTCACCTGGTGGCGAAGGCTCCGTCATGCAGCCAGCTGCGAGCCACGTGGCCTCTTGCAGGTTCCTCAGCACCCGGTTGATGGAGGACACCTGGGCAGAGCAGAGGCAGGGAATGGCTTAGGGGCAGCGTTGGAGGCCCTGTCCGGATCGCTGGCAGCCCC